GTGTGAGTGTGTGTGTGTGTGTGTGTGTGTGTGTGTGTGTGTGTTGTTCATGCTCTTCGCGTCTCACATCTTCAACTCGTCTTCTTGTGTTTCTGTCTCAGGCCCAGAAGAATGAGCGGGAGTCCATCCGGCAGAAGCTGGCGCTGGGCAGTTTCTTTGACGATGGGCCGGGAATCTACAGCAGCTGCAGCAAGAGCGGCAAACCCAGCCTGTCCTCACGGTCAGTAACAGCCCTCAAACCTGCTGTCCTGACTAGAGAAATCATATGCTGCACTTCATATGTGCATAATATAAACTAGAGTTCACACATTTCAGGTCATTAAGATTTTTTAATGATTATGAATGAAGTCTCTTCTGCTCACCAAGGCTGTATTTATTGAATCAAATATACATTTAAAACAGTGAAATATTGTTACTATGTAAAATCACAGTTTTCTATGTGAATCTGTGTTAAAGTGTAATGTATTTCTGTGATGCGCAGCTGTATTTTCAGCATCATTCCTCCAGTCTTCAGTGTCACATGATCTTCAGAAATCAGTATAATATGCTGATCTGCTGCTCCAGAAACATTTCTGATTATTATCAATGTTGAAAACAGTCGTGCTGCACAATATTTTTGTGGAAACTGTGATACATTTTATTTTTCAAAATTCACAGATGAATAGAAAGTTCAAAAGAACAGCATTTATCTGAAAGAAAAAAATCAAGAAAAAAGCCCTTTTGATCAGTTTAATGCATCCTTGTTGAATAAAACTATTATTATTAAATATTAATTTAATTAATATATATATATATATATATATATATATATAATATGGTAAACATTTTAACTAATAGATATCACCGTACTTCCCCAGTTTATTATTGAAATCACAGTTGATTAAAATAATTTTTTTGAATTACAAGTGTTCTGAAGTGTTTAAATATGCGTAATGGAAAAAACAAGAGTTAGAAATTTTTATGTGATTTTGGTGACACATTGGAGTTAAAGGTTTTTACCGAGGGAACTTTGGATTTCTCTTTTTATCACCTCAAAACTCAGAAGATACAGAAAAAAAGAAAATAAAGAAACTTTAATATGTCGTCTAAATCAGTGTGAATAATATATGAACAAACCTCAGTAAAAGCCTTCAGAATATAGAGAGGACTACAACTGTAAGGTGTGCTGCATGTCAGTGCTGCTGAAGTGGAGAAAACATTTATTTTGAGAAAATGTAAAAAAAAGATATACTGTATTTGAAATCTACAGACACAAAAATATAAAGTGCAATAATAAAACCAGGCAAGTGATATATCAACAAACCTCTCAGTAAAACCCTTCAGTGTGTGTGTGTGTGTATATATACACATATACACATACATATTGGTGCAGAACACTATAATTAATTTATGTAAGTGAGGATAGCAAAATAAAGTAAACTGTAACAAATTATACCCAAAAATTCTTCATAAAGTGGATTACCAGTAAAACTGATACAAATTTAGGATCAAAAATTTTTCAGACACTTTGACCTGAGCATGGTTTGCTTAAGGGAATTCTTTTTTTTTTTTACACCACAGACTGAACAAAATGAAGCATTGCTTGGTAATTGTTTGAGCTAAACTGAGTTGTGTTCATATATTATTACCATTTTCTAAACTATAGCGAATAAACTGTGATAATGTGAGAAATGTTGAAGGTGTCTGAATTAATGTTGCTTTGACTGTATATATACACTATATACACACAGACGGATCACAGGGAGCATGCACAGGGACACGGGCCTTTTTACTTCAACTTTCCATGACCACAGCATGAGAGCGGAGCTGCGGCTCAGATAGTGAAACAGCGTCACGTTCCTGTGTTTGTGTGGCGAAGCCGAGCTTTCAAACACTCTCTCTATGAACACGAAGGGCTTCCCCCTCCAGCTCCGCATCACAAACACACACACACACACACACACACACACACACACACTCTTCCCAAAAGGGAAGCAGCTCCTTCTCTCACACACACAAACACACACAACTTTAACCTGAATCCCTGCTGCTCACTTTCTGTTTCACATGACCGTGATGAGCACTTCTTGTCATTTCTCTGTCATGTTGACAGTGTCGTAATGCTGCTGTCATTACAGTAAAACACTAACACTGTGACCCCCATCACTCTGCTCTAGATTTACCTTACTTCTGCTAGAGCCATAAGGAAATCCCATGATCTTTAAGACGGGACACTACAGGCAAAATTGTTTTTTCACGCACTGGTCACTTTTGAAATGTTGGGCTGTTCTGCTTCCATAACATGTATTTTTTTAACATCTTCAGCATCCATATTGCTCTATATGCACCTGACTGTAATCATAATACATATCTTCAAAGGCTGTTTAGCAAGATGAGTTTGTTTCTTCACTTCAGCAGCACTTACATACAACAAACTTTACAGTTTTATTTCTATCTATATTCTGAAGGGTTTTATGGAGGGGGTTGTTCATATATCATTCACATTGATTTATACAATATTTTAAATCAATGTTTTGTTGTTGTTGTTGCTTTGCTTGTTTTTCTGGCTGTTTGTGATTTATGGAGTGATAAAAAGAGAAATGTAAAATCCCCTCTGTAAAAACCTTTAATATGTCAGCAGGATCAAATGAGAATTTGACCTGGCTTCATCCATTATGCATATTAAAACAACACTTCAGAACACCTGTCATTGAAAACACTGCTCTCAGTTAACTATGATGAATAAACTGGGGAATTATGGTGATATCTGTTAGTTAAGATGTTTACTGTAAGTTTGTTAAATGTTTATCTGTCAGTTAAAATGTTCATCTGAAGTGTCTTACTTTAAGGAGAGAGTGATTTTCATGCGAAAGATGAACTGTAATCTAACTTCAGTCAATATTCTGACTTTAACTGTGGAATTGTATTAAATTCTTTGTAGAAAAAAAAGGTTTAATTTCAGTCATTTCGACTAAGTCTGCAATCAGACATTGTTAATTCATTACATTTTTAGATTGTTTATCATGCCATTTTATTGTTAAAACACAATAACAAAAATCCAAGTTTAAATGTCCTAAATTGCAAGCAGTTGCAAACCACACAGAGCTGTAAAGTGAAGCGCTCTAGTAACGTTCAGCTGGATCCTCGAGTCGAGCTTTCTGATGCTTCAGCAGTTCCTTTTCCTGCGCGTTTCACTGCTTTGTGTGACTTTCAGGCGATATTGCTGCTGATGTCACCACGGGTATTCCAATGCTGTCACTGTGTGCTTTTCTCAAATCAACGCACCTCCAAAACCTTAAAAATCAACCATAGGACTGTACACAAGAGCATAAACATAAAACAGACATTCCCAGAGTGATTTAAAATACAGACATATCATCATTCTGCATTAGTAATGATTAAACTGACTGAAGCCTGACTGAGTTTTTGGGCTGAGGTGTTTAACGGCACTGCATATCCTCACAGGCTTCAGAGCGGAATGAACCTGCAGATCTGCTTCGTCAATGACAGCGGCAGCGACAAAGACAGCGACGCAGACGACAGCAAGACAGAGACCAGCCTGGACACACCACTGTCTCCCATGGTACACACACACACACACTCATGGATGATGTTTCCTCTAACAGAGGTCACACAAGCAGCGTTTTGAGACAGCCCCATCCAGAATGCCCCTGAATCAGGGATGTGGTTTGCGAGCCTTGGCTTCCCAGCAGACATTGCAGCGGGTGTTACTGTAAGGTTACGGCTGAGTCAGAGAGGGTCACAGGCCAGAGAAATGACCCCACCTACACTGACCCTGTGCAATCATCATTCATCAGCCTGATCATTACAACACACCGGCGTGTGTAGATTCCCCCTGGACACGCGCCGCATCAGTCACACTCACACACACACACTTTAAGTCACTTAAGTGACCTTTTATTTAATTAATTTTATATTAATGTTACGTGGTAATCAGGGCGAAACAGAACAGGTGTGGGAACTAATTAATCAAAAACCATGGAAACTAATTAGGGAACTGAGGCAGGCAAATGGGAACAGGGAGAAAACGTCTCGGGTTACGTATGTAACCATGGTTCCTTGAGAAGGCAACGACTTCAACTGCGTCCTCTAGGGGTCGCTATGGGGAACGCCTTCAGCGTGACTGGTGTCTGAAGCATACATCTAAAAATGACAATAACATTGGCCGGCGACAGCCTGGGACTTCATTACCCTGCGCGATCACAGTATAAAAGGGCGCCGGGATAACATGTCAGCCGCTTCTTCGTCTGAAGCTTGCGTCCGAAGCATGGCAAGGAAACTGGAGGACGCATTGTCTCGTTCCCTTCTCAAGGAACCATGGTCACATACGTAACCTGAGACGTTCCCTTTCGAGGGAACTTTGAACTGCGTCCTCTAGGGGTCGCTATGGGGAACGGTATACCCACGCCACCATGATGAGGAGAGTGCATGCCAGAAAACCACGGCGAGCTCTAAGTACCAACTCTACCATAACCATGGGAGTTGCCCCTAGGACGCCCCTAGGATGCCTGTCAGTGACATTATCCCCTCCGGCCAAGGGCCTGAGCTGCATACCCTAAACAACTTACCTGATAGTGGCTGGGCTGGGAAGCCCAAGCCTAGGGCAGAGCTCAAGGCTTGGAATCAGAAGAAAGAGATTCCTTTGAGGGGATACGGCCTGGTGTCTAAAAACCAAACCAGACCCTGGCCTGTCACCCAGGGGGGCTACCACCGGATCTGAATAAACCTGCTCAAAGTACTGACTCGACAGATCTTTGGTAGCAATACCCTGCTCAGAAATGTATCAGCAGAGAGACATTAGTTGAGTGGCGCCCAAGGCAAGAACCGGGGCCTAAGCCAACTCGGAGAAAGGGAACGAGGCTAACAGTGCATAACCCTTACCATACAGGATTTTAGAAAGTGCGCAGAATGCTTGGCGTGCACACTTACCACAATGTGGATTTTAGAAAGTGAACAAAGGCTAGCGTGTGCACTTACCATAGCATGGATTTAAAAACACTGTTGCTTAAGGGGTAACCAAGGCTGTATTAAGCCAGCCTAGGGGCCCTATGTGACTGTGGCACGTTCACAGAACAGATTCCGAAGTGGCACGCTTGCAAGAGGCCCTTCATGATGAGGGGAGCACAGCTACCTCACTTAACAAGCAACCCGCCAGTGAGGTAGGCGATGGCCCAGCCACCTGGCATGATTGCTATACGGAGCTCAAAAGAGCGGAGGCCAATCTTCAAAAATAGAAGAAGGACTCGATGCTCAGATCGAGAGGGCGTGCTCATATGAACCCCCAAGGGCATTGCTAAGCTCGACCCCAAGGAGAGCGGCTCAACAGGAAGGCGGAGAGAGGCCTAACAACCTGAGGCCGCTACTCAATGGCGCTCAAACTAGCGGAGGACTTGAAAAGAGAGGTTCACAAATGCTCAGACGGGAGCGGCAGGCTCAAAGACAACCCTCTGAGGTGAGGGGAGCACTGCCTGGCTTGACCCGAATAGAGGCAGCTTATCAGGGAAGCAGCAAGCGGACCAACCTGATGTCACTGCCACGGAGTTCAAGAGCGGAGGGTTCAACCCCTACCAAGGAGAAAGAGGAACCCAGGTCGACCGAAGCAACCAATAGCCCAGGGTAGAGGACCTAACTCTCGAGTCGAGAGGAGGACTCACCCAGTCTGCCCAGGACCGGCGAGCTCAAAGGGACCCTCCCGCAGTGAGGGGAGCACAGCCATGTCCGGGGGCAGATAGATCCAACATAAAGGCAACTGACCAAGGAGGCGACAGAGACGGGCCTAACACTTAGTTCGTGGCAAAATGGGGTTCTTCGGGAGCAGCACTCTCGGCTCTCAAGCTGAGGCGGACCCTTACAGCACATACTGGGAGCGACTCACAGCTAACCCTCACAGAGAGGGGAGCACTTCTCAGCTCGACCAGAAGGGGGCGCTATAATAGAAGGGGTAACCCAGCAGGGCACAATAAGAGACAGTCCACTGGTGCAGCTGGACACAGTCTCATGCTCTCTATCTCGATCACGCTCTATCTCGAGAGCGTGGGTCCCATATAACCAGACCAGATAGAATCTGAAGAAATAGCGGGACCCAATAACCATTCATGTGTATAGAGCTTACTGCTCCTCAGAGCAGAAGCACAAAAGAGGGGTTTCCACAGAAACACAAATCCCTCTTACCTCAGGGAACGCAGTGTACTCCAACCCACACCGCAGAGGTGTGATTACTGGTTCAACCATAAGGGCAGTGTGACAGTGAGGACCCACGGGCCCGACCGTCTATGGAGCGTTGAGCTCCTCAATGCCTCAGCGCGAGGATCTCTAGCTCAGAAAACGTGCATGAAGGTTTAGGAACGATTCAAATATTGGGAGATCTCCCCAGGTTGAGAAATTAGTAGTTCGCAGATGGCCAGAGGATAGGGAGCATGTCACCAAGCATGTACTCAGAAGAGTACTAGCCCATGAGAAGGGCCCAAAGTTCCTGAGGTTGCAGCATTATACTGGGGACCTGATGCTGGGAGGCTTCCTCGGAAGTCCAGGCTGCGTGTCCAAGCCAAAGATGAGGGCTATCACCAGCGTGGATTCAGAACCGATGAGTAAAACCATCACTGTAATTGGTCAACAGCAGGAGGTCCTGACTTAGCAGCTGGGTCAAACCTAAAAGTCAGAAAAACAGAACAGGTCTGGGTAGCGCTGCAGAGAAAGGCTAGCATCGAATACACAAGAACTAGCAGTAGAGTAGATAAAAATGGATCGTACTCACCAACCATGGCTCCCGCACATGACTCAGGCTCATGGATATAGGCTGGAGGGGAAGGCTGAAGACTGGACCTTCGTGGAATGAAGGATTTAAAGGCAGCCGAGCGCATCTTGGCCTCCTTAAACTTCACGACCACCTCGATGGAAGTGCCGAAAAGCTCAGAAGGGGAAACCGGCTCATCAAGAAGAAAGCCCTTCTCTTTCAACCCGATATCCACCAGACTCAACCACAGATGTCTCTCCATAACCACCATGGCCACCATGGATCTGCCAATGGCAGTAGCGGCCAGCTTAGTGGCACAGAGAGCAAGATCTGTGGTGCGACGCAACTCAGCCACCTCATCAGGGGATAGACCCTGCATCTTGGCCTCCTTAAACTTCACGACCACCTCGATGGAAGTGCCGAAAAGCTCAGAAGGGGAAACCGGCTCATCAAGAAGAAAGCCCTTCTCTTTCAACCCGATATCCACCAGACTCACCCACAGATGTCTCTCCGTAACCCCCATGATCTGCCAATGGCAGTGGCAGCCTGCTTAGTGGCACGGAGAGCAAGATCCGTGGTACGATGCAACTCAGCCACCTCATCAGAGGATAGACCCTGCATTTATCCACTTTCAGCAGATCAGCCTGAAAAACCTGAAGCACCGCCATGGTGTGCAACGAGGCTGCAGCCTGACCTGCTGCCGTGTATGTCCTGCTATTGAAACAGAATGTATCATGAAGGGGTTTGGATGGCATGGAGGGAGCCTTAAGAGAAGATGTCTTCCCCATAGAGAGATAGCAGGCCAGCATCTCTTCAACAGGGGGCATCTTTTCATAACCATTCTCACGCATCCCCTCGATGTTGGCATAGTTAGTATGCTGGAATCTGTGGATGCGGGATGAGAATGGATTTTTCCAAGCCTTCTCGATCTCCACATGAAGATCGGGAAGGAATGGAAGGCTCTTTTCTTTTTTTTTTTACTTCAAGCCGGAGTGCAGTATAATGTGGTTATCTGAGAAGGACATGATATAAATCATCTGTCCAACAAGTGCAGACAGATACATACTATACACTTCCTTATTTAAACAAAAAGGAAATTACGGATAGGGAGAAATTTCCCGTCAGGTCCTTTCCATGTTCTCACCGCGACCGCAATGCGCTGCATGCATTCAGCTCCCGCCCAAACACTAGATTACCTCAGAAATCAAGCAAGAACAGAAACCGCTGCTGCGAATGCGTAGCTATTCCCGCGAGTGGCGAACGCACTCATGCAAACGCTATCTACCAACTCGGGTAAATGGTGAAGTACTCACCTCCCACTCAGTAGTCCCGCGAATGCATCACGATGAGCACAAGCCGTCTCCTCGTGAGACGAGCGCGTTCAATTCATGCTTATCCCTCACAAGAAATAAGCAATGAATGGAGAGCGCATCCAACTTCCTCAAGAGCTGAACGCGCTTGTTGTTCACCACACACACACAACACACGAGCCGTGACACTACAGGTATCAGAGCAAAGCCTCTGGCGAGAAACATGCACTCCTAGTTGTGTTTAGCTTAATACTAACATAGACAAACGGTCAGTGAAGACAAAGAAGAGGATGACGTATTGTCCCAGCACCCTTTTATACTGTGATCACGCAAGGGTAATGACGTCATAGGCTGTCCCCGGCCAATGTTATTGTCGTTTTTAGATATATGCTTCTGACACCAGTCACGCTGAAGGCGTTCCCCATAGCGACCCCTAGAGGACGCAGTTCGAAGTTCCCTTGAGAGGGAACTAAACAAAAACACAAGCAACATCTGACAATTATCTGCAAGTACAGTGTTATTAAAGGGGTCACTACATGGATTTTTTAAATTATTTTACAGGTTTTTTCAACTGCTTACACACAAAATCTTTACTTGTCACACAATTTCTGAAAGCTGACACTCAAACAGCAGAAGCACACACCAAATCTGCACAACCATACACTAATTCTCAGCCTTTGACTCAGTTTTCAATTTCATGAAACACTTTTTCCAAAGCACAACACATAATTCTCTATGTAACACACAAACATCTAACAGGAACTAATATTATGGCAAAGGTGTTTGCAAATGTTTGCCTTTTAGATGAGTTATATTATTTTGAATGCAGTGCTTCATTTTGCAAGAGATGTGAGGCATTTTGCAATTTGTGTGTGCGATTCCTGAACTTGTGTGTAAAGTTTTGAAAAAAAGAGGCAAAGTTTTGAAAATGTAAGCAGTTGAAAAAAATGATAATATGTTCCTTGAGGTTTACTTATAATGATAATAAAGTTTTTTGCACAAAAAAAACAAAACAAATAAATATGTGGAAAAATTATTATTTTCAACCCTCATTCTGACCCTCTGTCTAAAATGAGCTGTTTTAAGGGGCGTGTCCTTTAAGGCTTGTCAGTAATCAGCTGCTGTTGTGATTGGCTAACATCGTTGCATAGGAAACAGTATCAACGCCCCCTCGCTATTGCATGTGAGTGTTTTGACAACATGATCAAAATAAAACGGTTATTTCCAGACAAAGCATTATGAAATCATTTACTTACGGTTTGTGATGCAGCTGCAGTCAGATCTAGTACCGCTTCATCTTTCAACAGAAGTTTCTTTGTGAACTCTCCATGACACTGTGCCTCATTCACAAAACAAAATGCTCTGATCAATCCTCTGATATGATCTGGGCTGCCTTTAATCCCACTCGAGCGCTGGACTGTGTCAGAAAGCGAACGCGAATAGAGAACTGTGTGTTGTGTTTTGCAGAAAGTGTTTTATGAAATTGAAAACTGAGTCAAAGACTGAGAATTAGTGTATGGTTTTGCAGGTTTGGTGTGTGCTTCCAATTTGTGCAGAAATTGTGTGACAAGTAAAGATTTTGTGTCTAAGCAGTTGAAAGAACTGTAAGTGATAACATTTAATGTTAGTTTGTAAAATGAAGCAGGAATATTTTAAAGTGTCTTGTCAAAAGACAGTATGGGTCGTCTCAGATCATTCAGGAGAACAGGATCATCAGGGTTTGAGTTTGTTATGCAGATGTTATATATACTGTCTTATTACACAATCAGATCATTTCCACTGTATGCTGAGCTCCACTGGCTCCAGATTTTGTGCTCCAGGGTCACATTGGTCTTATGTTCTCTCTGTCCATCTGTCCTCAGAGCAAACAGAGCTCGTCCTACTCGGACAGAGACACCACGGAGGACGACTCGGAGTCTCTGGAGGACATGGACTTCTTGAGCCGACAGAAGAAGCTGCAGGCCGAGGCCAAGCTGGCTCTCGCGATGGCCAAACCCATGGCCAAGATGCAGGTGGAGGTGGAGAAGCAGAACCGTAAGAAGTCTCCTGTGGCAGATCTGGTACGTGTGCTTCATTCGCGCTAGCCAGAGCCGATCGTTTAAATACAAAGAATCACTGATTACAGAAAGACTTCTGTCAGTCAGGCAGTGCTGGGAAGGTTACTTTGGAAATATAATAGGTTACAGATTACAAGTTACTCTACTTAAAAAGTAACAGTAGTGTAACTATTTCAATTACTTTATTAAAGTAATGTAACTGATCACATTTGATTACTTTTTGATTACTTTTCTAAATGTTTTCAACTGTTAATAATATTGAAGCATGTAAAGCAGGCAGGGTAACATTACAGTACACAACACTGATTACTGTCAGACTTTCACTATCCCTCATCATTTGAATTAAGATTATAATCATTTCATTTTAAAGCACAGCCACCATCAAATCAGACTTACTTTGAGATCATTCTGAGGTTAAATGCAGATTTAAAATCATAACAAGAAGTAGTTTAATAGCTATTATACTTTTATTTTTAAATCAAGTCTTTGCATAGCTACGACAGGAAACACTATGTGTCCTAATCTCCTGAAACATTGGTGTCTTTTATTTTAGAGCAGTCACAGCAATTTATGAAAGAAATCAATAAAATCTCTGTGTGTGTGTGTGTGTGTGTGTGTGTGTGTGTGTGTGTCTCTGTGTGTGTCTGTGTGTGTGTGTGTGTCTGTGTCTGTGTGTCTGTGTCTGTGTCTGTGTGTGTGTCTGTGTCTGTGTCTGTGTCTGTGTGTCTGTGTCTGTGTCTGTGTGTGTGTCTGTGTCTGTGTCTGTGTCTGTGTGTCTGTGTCTGTGTCTGTGTGTGTGTCTGTGTCTGTGTCTGTGTCTGTGTGTCTGTGTCTGTGTCTGTGTGTGTGTCTGTGTCTGTGTCTGTGTCTGTGTGTCTGTGTCTGTGTCTGTGTGTGTGTCTGTGTCTGTGTCTGTGTCTGTGTGTCTGTGTCTGTGTCTGTGTGTGTGTCTGTGTCTGTGTCTGTGTCTGTGTGTCTGTGTCTGTGTCTGTGTGTGTGTCTGTGTCTGTGTCTGTGTCTGTGTGTCTGTGTCTGTGTCTGTGTGTGTGTCTGTGTCTGTGTCTGTGTCTGTGTGTCTGTGTCTGTGTCTGTGTGTGTGTCTGTGTCTGTGTCTGTGTCTGTGTGTCTGTGTCTGTGTCTGTGTGTGTGTGTGTGTGTCTGTGTCTGTGTGTCTGTGTGTCTGTGTGAAAAAAATCAGATGTAAAATTTCTTTGTAATCGTTAACATTTCATAAGTAACTGTAATTTAATTACACATTGCACAAAAGAACGCTTAAGTGACTTAAAGAGAGACATTCCCATGACTTTCTCAATGCATATTTAAAACGTGACCTTAGTAATAATGTCAAACTAAATTTCAAAGGCAATAGACTTAATTATGAAATCACATTTAAAGATGTACTGAAGTCCTACTCAAGCAGCTAATTACATTTAATATAAATTGCAACTATATTACTTTTTCATTTAATTGTACATTAACATGCAATTAAGTGTCTAAAACATTATATTTATTTCACACTTATATACAATACTATATTCTATTAATGTACGCTGCCATTCAAAAGTGTGGGATCAGTTAGATTTTTTCTCTTATGCTCATCAAGGTTGTATTTATATGATCAAAAACACAGTAATATTGTGAAATATTATTGCAATTTATAATATTGGTGTCTTATTTGAATATACTTTATATAATTTATTTCTGTGACGCAGTGCTGAATTTTCATCAGCCATTACTCCAGTCTTCAGAAATCATTCTAATATGCTGATTTATTATCAGTGTTGAAACGGTTGTGCTGCTTCATATTTCTTTGGAACCTGTGATACTTTTTTCTTTGATTCTTTGCTGAATAAAAAGTTTAAAAAGAACAGTTCTTTACTGTCACTTTTTATCCATTTAAGTATTAATTTCTTAAAAACTAATTCTGACCCCAACAAAGTAGTGTATATTGTAACAAAAACTAAATCTATTTTAAACATATTTTTACTTTTTATTTGTCAAAGAATCCTGAAAAAAGTATCACAGGTACCAAAAAATACTAAGCAGCGATGACAGTTTCCAGCACTATGTGATAATAAATCAGCATATTAGATTATAGATATATAAATTCAGCTTTGATCACAGAAATAAAATATATTGTAAAGTATATTAAAATAGAAAACTGTTATTTTAAACTGCAATTATATTTCACAAAATAAATAAAAAAAATCTGTATTTTTGATCAAAAAGATATAGCCTTGATGAGCAGAAGAAAATTCTTTAAAAAAAACATTAAAAAGCTTACTGATCCTAAACATTTGAACGGCAGTGTATATTATTTCTGTAATAAGTACTCTTGTTAAAAGTATGCTAACTTGTATTATACACATGGAAAATCATATATATATATATATATATATATATATATGAAGAGTTCAGATGCAAAAGCCATAAAACCTAAAATGTCTGTATGTTTTAGGGTTGAATGTGTAGTCTGTGGTGTCCTTACACAGATGGAATATTATCATGACACACTATAGGTGACGTGCTTTGGTCAGTTTATATATAGGAATACAATCAAAGCAGTAATGGTGATATAAGCACAGTTCCAGGAGAAGGAGAGACGTCATGCGTTGCCTGCATTGAGAACGCCTCCGCTGCACCGCTGCACCACTGAACTGAAACTGTGACACACCAGCTGCTCTCGGCTCTTCCTCCAGCGCTGAGTGACGCGATGAAGAGCGAGCGCGGCTCACGTCAGGCTCACGCTCGCGGGGGAATTCTCCCGCCGCATGAGAAACCCACACCAGAGACGGACAGCAAAACTCTCACAGCACTGCTGCACATGAGAACAAACCTGACCTCTGCTGTCACAGCTCCTTCCAAGCGCTCTGCTCGTGTTGTTTCTCGGGACTGTTAGATCATCTCCTCTCAACTTGCAGAGGAGAAATCTTCCACAGTGCGGCACGGGACGTGTTACACAGCCAATGCAATGGGTTTAGACAGTGCGGAGTGACTGTATTGGCTGTATAACACCACCTCACATCAGAGCTGTTACTCTGTCGTGTGTGAAACGCCACTGAAACCAGTCAACATCCACAGCTCCTGTCTGTGTGCTAGAGACAAGACCATTCTCAGACTCAGAATGCATTGCTGAACTGTCCAGTGCCTGTAGACGTGAATGCACAGCTGATGCAACGACATGCAACTCTCATTTAATCACACTCTTATCAGTCATAGCTTGAAACTTTCACACACACACTGTCACATGGAGTATACAGTACTTGTGTGTCAAAACTGAAGTAGACTTTGGGATTGAGACAGCAGGAAAATCCGTTTTTATCACATATCCACACACACCTCTGTTAAAGCATTTGATTCTTTCATATATATGCATGAAGACCTGAACACACTTGAACCACTTTTAGTCAAGTCACATTCTTTTTTATAGTGCGTTATGCAATACAGATCATTTCAAAGCAGGTTTCTAGAAACAACCAGGAAAATAACAGTGTTGCAAAATTCATTCATTATGAAACACATTCACTTTCAGCTAAAGCATAAGCGGCGCTACAGAAAGTAATAGTGTTATTATTCAGATCAGATCAGTTCAAGTTTGGTTTTCGTCAGTGCAGGCTATAATATTGCAGAATATTAATTAGCATCATGGTCGTCTTCCAGTTTCCTGCATATGAGAGTAAATCTGTATATACAGTATAATGTATTGATACTAAAACCTTAAAACCTGCAACAACCTGCATCCAATATCAACCCACACGTCCAAATATTCTGTGATTCTGAGTGAACAACAGTCTGAAACGTGCTAAGCAGAAGTGATTTCTCCTCTCTAGTAAGCTTCTAGCTTCTTTGTCTTTTAATGATGTGAAATAGTGACTCATGCGTTTAACTCTTCACATCTGTGTTACTGCAGGTCACTTTAGAGCAGGATTAATCTGAGTGTTACAGTTACACAGAAGCATTCATGTAACCCTGATTTCTGCCTCGCTTCATTGGCCACAGAGTGAACATTCACTTCACTTACTAGCGTATATAAACCCAGCTCATTATTGTCTTACGCCGCTCATATCTGTCTAAAATGGGGAAAACCTTAGAATAGGAAGAAGCTCAAAGCAAGCGAACTGATGTGAAAGTAAAACTGCAGAATGTCAGACTGAAGCAAGTCCTCATGGGAACTTCAGATGGGTGATTTACCTGAAGAATTACCATGTGTGATACTGGTATTTGTAATGTGAAAAACCTGCTTTAGTTTCTGTGAAGAGATCTGCTGTCCGTGCTTATTTTTATTCAGACTTCACTATCATAACCCCGTCATTAGAAATAATAATAGCGCATGATTCTCTGGAATAGCTGACTCTGATTGGTCAGTGGTGTCATTAACACAATAAAGATCAACTGAATAACTGATTATTTCATAGATTAAAGAGATGAAATCACGATGTAGCATCCTTTTCAAACAACATTTCCAACTAAAATCTTTACCAATATACATGTTTAATCCCAGTCAAGAACAGCATCATGATATCAAATCAGACATGCTACTAACTGAAATCAAAGCCGTGTGTTTCTCAACATCGTCACTTAAACGACTGATCATTAAATCTGGAAAATGTTAACCTCGCATCAGACGAGCGGCTTGTTTTCACTCAAGACAACCGATTGTCATTTTATTTCTGAGAATTGTTTCCCGTTCTCTAAATCCCTCCATTACTTTTGTGCAGCTTTCTGAGAATCAGTTACTCTGAACATTATCTGAATGCTTTCTCTGAACTACTTCCTCCAGCCTCAGACTGTCAAGTCCATATTTCCATGTATGCTTTTTTTTTTTTTACTTGAGCTAGACAACACTAGAAATACAATAGAGCTAGATCGAAAGACTCTTTCTGTAAAGCTGCTGTGGAAGCGTGTGTGTTCAGAAAAGCACTATACTAATAGATTTGACCTGACATATTCCTGTCTCTGTGTGTGTGTGTGTGTGTGTGTGTGTGTGTGTTCACAGCTTCCTCACATGCCACACATCAGCGAGTGTCTGATGAAGAGGAGTCTGAAGCCCACGGATCTCAGAGACATGACGCTGGGACAGCTGCAGGTCATCGTCAACGACCTGCACTCACAGATCGAGGGTAAACACCTCTGTCTGTCTCATTCATACGCTGCATAGTGTGTGTGTGTGTGTGTGGAGCTCAGGGACATGTGTGTGTGTGATGCGCAGGTCTGAACGAGGAGCTGGTGCAGCTGCTGCTGATGAGAGACGAGCTTCACATGGAGCAGGACGCCATGCTGGTGGACATCGAGGACTTGACCAGGTGACCAAACCATGACAAACAGAACGTGATGGAGTAAAAGTACAAGCGCTGAGTTTCAGGAATACTCCACAAATTCCCCTAAAGAAAACTTGAAGGACTTTACACCGGAGCCAGTGACGGAATGAGAACATGTTTTCACAGCGCCGTTGACATGCTGTTATAGTTTTTGAATTAGATTTTATTATTACATTGTCTGCTTCTATTTTAATTTGAGTGAAGTGTTTTTCAGGAACACTTTATTTTAAGGTCTCACTATTAACTATGACTTTTGCCGCAATAAACTCCTAATTTGCTGCTTATTAAAAATGAGCAAGGTAGTTGTTAAGTTTAGGTACTGGGTTTAAGGGTTAGGAGACCTAAAATATGCTCATGCAGAATAAGGCATCAATATGTGCTTTATAAGTGCTAATAAACAGCCAATATGCATGCTAATAAACTAACATTAAGAATTGATCCTTAAAATAAAAGTGTTAGCATTTTATTGTTGTTTTTTATGTTTATGAAGTTTTAGTTATTTTAGGACGTAAAGTTAAATTAAATGTATATATGGTTATGTATATATATATATTTCCATGATCAATTTGTTTATTTCAAGTAACAAAACTGCTGTTTACACGTTATTTTGATAGTGAACTTTAGACATTCTACTAACTATAAGTAACTTTGTAACGCCATGTTAACCAGCAGTCATTAGAGTGTTAATAGACTGCGTAATATCTGCTAACACTTTATTGTGATGGACATTTGGTTGCACTTTATTTTAAGGTGTCCTTGTTACAGTGTAATTATACATTTAAGTACTGAGTGATATCAATTAACTACATGTACTTACTATATGGTTAGGGTTCGGCTTAGGGTTACTTGCATGTAGTTATGCATAATTTATTGTTACATGTAAGTACATGTGTAACAAGGACACCTTAAAATAAAGTGTTACCGAACATTCTACTGAGTGACTATCAGTGACTCGTTCTACTAACCCTACTGATACTCTAATGAGAGTTCTTTGACATGCAGTTGCGTACAGACTCAGTAGAGTGTCTAAAGTGGACTGGAAATAAAGGACTGTTTTTTGTGTCATGTCTGTGTTCCTCAGGCACGCTCAGAGCCAGCAGAAGCACCTGGCGGAGAAGACGCTGTCCAAATGAAGCCGCACGCCTCCACACATCAGTATAGACAGACACCTTTCCTTTGCTTCTGTGGTTCATAACTGCTGACCGCTCGCGTCCTCACACACTAAACGCAGGCCTCCGGATCCGTCTCGGACACTGCTCCCTGCGGCCATCCTCTTAGACCGTCTCAGTCCTTTACGTTCGCCACTAAACTATAACCGTCAGAACATAAAGTGGTGTAAAACACCTCGTGAGAAACTCCTCTGGATCCTGACGACAGCGGAAACATGCCTGCCTTGTAGTCGACTTGTAGCTTCTGGTCACGTTCACTCCGATTGGTATTCAACATTTCGTGAATGTTGATTCTGACACGAGTCATCTGAATAAGTGTGTTCATATCATTTTCATTCTATTGCATTCAGATTCTTTATTTGAGGGAGATGCTTATGTACAGATATGTGTAAAATAAGAAAAAATAAAACTTTGTTTCATAGACCGTGGCGTTCTGGATCGTCTGTTGTGGAGAAAATACGAATCGTAACTAAAATCACTTTTCTGTGGAAGCTCGTTTCTGCCACAGGGAGAGAAAAAGGTAGAGGTGACTGACTTTTCCTCACAATTCTGAGAAGAAATAAACTCGGGATTTCGAGAAAAGAGTCAGAATTCTGAGATTAAAAAGTCACAATTACTTTTGTATTTTCTCATTTTGTGGCAGAATCAAGCTTCTGTAGTTTTGCGTCATTATTTGTGCTTTAGAATAGAATTGCACATGCGATTAAACACAAAGTGCTGGTCTTTACATGTTTCATCCAAAACTGCCATCAAATATATTCCAAAAGTGCTTTCTTTCTACACATTTTATTTTTTTTCCATTTTGAAAATGAATCATGTTTCATGCTGGAAATTTGTCAACTCCTACAGATCGATGAATTTATGTATCATGTTCTATTTGAGACTGTATACGACTCACATTGTTGGAACTAAAAGAAAATCTGCGGGTTTATCAAATATTAGTCAGATAATTGTGTGATTGAGTGGAAATACTCATATAAACAGACTTGTGTGGATTGCTGCCACTACTGATCATTATGCAGTGTTTTCCAGTTATTCATGGAAAGTGTTGTGATTTGTGGCTGTGTCTGAATGAAGTGAAAACAGGAGCCTGTAGTGCAGTTGTTTGTTGAGGTCACCGTGATGAGCGCATGCACACATCAGAGTGTTTATTCCAGTTTCAGTGCAGCAGCAAACCAAAAGAAAAGCACTGTGTGAGTGAGTGAGTGTATGTGTGGAGGTTGTACAGTGATTGAGAGTGTGAGGGATTCCCCCGTCATGAGCTTAAAGCCCATTGCACTCGTACTCCAGCAAACACACACACACCGAGACTGAGTCTGAGCGACGACACTCATCATGAAGATCTGTGAGTAACTCACTTATCATATTCACACACACTCGCTGTTACATGATGTAGTGATGGAACTGATCAGTTACATCTTTACTTTTCTGTTTGATCGAAGTGTTACAAGTTAACATTTGAGACATTATTGAAAGCTGATTTACTGCAGTACATCTGAATTGTGTGTGTGTGTGTGTGTGTGTGTGTCACGCAGGCGCTGTGTTCTGTGTATTTGTGGCTCTTGCTCTGGGCTCTCCGGTTCCTCTGAACACACAGCAGTGTGAATGCAGCGCCGCCGCCAGGTCTCTGCTCTCCAGCCTCTCACACATCATGCAGAAGGTACAGCGTCACACACTCATTACTGCAACTCCACTTAATACCCAGACGGCAAAAATCTGCCCGAGATTTTAAATAAATGTGACCCTGGAGCACAAAAGCAGTCATAAGGGTCCATTTCTTGAAATTGAGATGTATGCATCATCTGAAAGTATATATATGTGAAATAACCGTTTCATTTGAAGCATTTTTCAGCAACGAGAGTAATATTATTTTGTGGTTTACAGTAAGGGTCTCATGACTCATGTGTTATTGTGTAAATGTTTCTGATGGTTAATGGCGTTACTCTTGTCTCGTGTGTGTGTGTGTGTGTGTGTGTGCTCTGAGCGCAGGAGGGGAAGATGAAGCACAGGGATCTGTTTGCTGGCTTTAACTGCACGGATCTGGAGGCTCAGATGATTCCTCACACTCTCACAGCATCTGTCTGTCAGCCCAGCGCCTCTGATGATGTGAGTCTCAGCACCTCACACACACACACACACACACACCACAACCTCTCGCTCATGACAGCAGTCACACTCTGCTTAGTTTAGTTGAACCCTCATCACACACCTGAGCGACTGTGCAACATCTGCAGGATCACTCGTTCAGAGGAGGTTAGAGTTAAGCGAAATTAACAACATGGACGTGAAACTAGAGATACAACTGGCACAGAGTGTCTCATGACAGCGCCACCTACTGACCGAAGTGCAGAAACATCAGCCAGAGTCAGCTTTCTGCTTTGCTCCATATATTTCTGCAGGCAAATGCCAACCTATTAGTGAATTTCAAGGTTTCTCCACATAAAAACTCTGTTTTTGGTTATTGATGCTAGACTTTGCCAGTGTTATTATTAATAACAGTCAATCTGATCAGTGTTTCCTAACTTCAGGTCGACCAAACAAATCTCACTCTGCCCTGAGACTGCTGCGTGTATTTAGTATAGCTAACACATTAAGGTCCCACTAGTTAATGCATGAACTAACAATGAACTAACAATGAACAGATGTATTTCTATTAACAATTGTATTGAGGTCAAAGACATTTAAATGTCCGCATCAAAAGAACTTTTACAAAAGTGATTTTATATGCACAGAAAGCACATTAAATGCAAGTTTTGGGAGAATAAAATGTCAAAATGTGGGTGAAATAATGTTCCAGTGTAACACTTATATTCATGTAAAAATTGAAACAACATGCTTATTCTGAGCTGTACATTTTAAAATATATAAAAGAATTGAAGTGAGCATACTACATTTTATTGCATTTAAAAAAATCTTGCTGATAAATGTCCAAAATGGGATAGTGGCAAAGTTTAAAAATGTTTAATTATTTGGGGTAAAACTAATTAGTTCTTTAATATGTCATAAACTGATTCTTGTGGCAAATATGCCTAACAAGATTGTTACACCGAATAACATTTTAGTGGCTGTTTTCTGTAAATCATGGTAAAAATGTATGATATTAATTTTTTCTCCCCGAAAAAAAAGAAACCTATTTAATTAAACAGGACACTTTCTAATGTACTGAAAAACAACAACAAAGCTGTATTACACTCATTGCTTGAAAACCCTTTCTCGTCTTTGACCCATTGTTAGTTAATGTCAGCAACTTGTAGTAAAAGTTCATCTGGACGTGAACTGAGATGAATAAATGCTGTAGAAGTGTTTCTCATTGTTAGCTGATGTTAAGCATCATGCAGTGAACTGACGTCAGCAGCTCATTGTGAAGTGTTATCAGTGGAGTATAATTATCATTATGTGTGCTTTCAGAAAGCAGCCTGCTCCAGCCACCGGAGCTCGTCTTTCAGTGAGGTGAGTGTGTTATATCTGTCTGGTTGGCCTCAGCTGATCCGCTCCGTCTAAAGCTTGTGTGCTTTTCACAGATGGAGTGTCTGACGAACATCCGAGCCGATCTGCGCTATTACCACGTGATGCTGAACTCCTACAAGCCCAGCGAGACTGATCTGAGTCCAGTGAAGACGGCCACCAAAGCCCTGATGGATGTGAGACTCTCATGCTTCTTCAGTCTGTCTGCAGGCCGAGCCGATGCCATACCAACATACTGCATAATCAGAGCAAAATATTAAGATCTCTGACAGAGCTGAATTCAACAGAGAAGGAAACACTGTTGCTTAAGCCTTGTGTTATGTTGGAATTCTGGGTACAATTTTTATATTGTGGGTCAAACTGACTCGAACTGGATTCACCAAACATCGCACTATGAAAGCAAAACTAAAAATCAGTAAACCTTAAACATTAATGCTTCTCACATATTACAACAAAAATAAAACTGCATTTAACAATTATTTTTTAAACGAAAAGAAAGACGTATTGTAAATAGTATTTTTACAATAAAAATAATTCAAGCTGCAGAGCATGCCGCTAACGACACCAAGGTCATGGGTTTGATTCCCAGTGAAATGACTATGCTTAAACTGATAAAAATGTACATTTCTTGGGATAAAAGCATCTGCCAAATGCATGAATGCAGGTTTAAACACCCTCAGAGCGTAGCTGAGAGCCTGACACAACAAAATACATTAAAATGATTTTATTTTAGGTCTGCGCAGATGCCGTTAACCGTGAAACTGTGGGTCAAACTGACTTATAAACATCATAATCATGATATTTAGCATGCACATATTTGCATATTCCACATATTTCAACAGCATATGTTAAAACTTTGAGAAATAGTGACAAAATAAAAACAAATATCCTAGGTTAACCAGTGTTTCAACATAACACAAGGGTTAAGGACTAGTAGACAGAACACAGTGCTCTCTTAGTAAGCTGGTATTCCATTCCAAAAACGTGTCGTGTGTGTGTGTGTGATGGCAGATTCTGCTTGTTTTGCAGTGTTTGGATGAGAACTGTGAGGCTACGGATGGAGAGTTTCCTCAGGTGAGTCTGTCGTCGTCTCTCCAGGTGATGATACACTGTCATTCTCAATGGCACGCAGCATTGCTCAAAGACGTTCATGTTCTCTGATGTGTGTGCAGTGGCTCGTCTGGAGCGGCTCGTCCTTCACTGACCGTCTGTCGCTGTGCAAAGCGCTGAAGGGCTTCCACATCCGGGCCGTCACCGTGAACCGGGCGCTGGGGTACATCGGCTCCGGAGAGCACAGGAAATGATGTCACTCACTCCGGAGAGTCACACATAAGCTGAATATTTATGTTCACCCCTCAATCTATTTATTTGTTTTGAGAAATTATTTATTAATGTAATACATTATTTATTAATTATTTATTAAAATATTTGTGCGACACCAAGTGTATTTTGTGTTTGTGTGGATGATTCCCAAGAAGTCAAGTCACCTTTATTTATAAGCGCTTTTAACGATACAGATTGGCAATTTATTACTCCAAACTGTAAGGCTAACACCGAGTAAACATGATTCATATTGTTCAGTTTACTTTATAGATGGTTAATCGCAAAAATATAACATTATGTAAATCACTTGCTATACACATAAACAATGTTTACATTGTAAATAATGGCTAAAAGAAGTTACGTTTTTACTAATTCTACCAACTGTCTACTAATACTCTTACGAGAGTTAGTTGAGATGTAGTTGCAAAGTGACTTTAGAATCTCTAAACTGTAGACTTTTACTACATTTACTGTACATTCTGTTAACCATTAATTACTGGATTATTTTTTGCTTGTTTATTCTTTAAACGTTTAATCTTTCAAACGTTTCATTAGATACAAGTATACCCTTAATGTATGTTCAGTTAGTTTAATTGCTGGTGTGTTCACGCTTAACTACCGCATGAATATGGACTCTTAAAGTAGAGTGCCATCACAGGTTTATTGAAAAGTAAGTTGTGCTGAAATGCTCTGGTTTATGACGTCAGCACATTATCATGAGCGTCCACGTTCACACATCATGTGATGAGATGACCGGGCAGCAGGAGAGATTATTTGTCAATGATAAGAGTCAGCTGTGATGAAGCATGTGAGCGCATGAAGAATCAGAGCTTCATAAAGCAGTGTCAGAGTTCATGCTGACTGATAGTTACGTTTTTACTAATTCTACCAACTGTCTACTAATACTCTTACGAGAGTTAGTTGAGATGTAGTTGCAAAGTGACTTTAGAATCTCTAAACTGTAGTCTTTTACTACATTTACTGTACATTCTGTTAACCATTAATTACTGGATTATTTTTGCTTGTTTATTCTTTAAACGTTTAATCTTTCAAACGTTTCATTAGATACAAGTATACCCTTAACGTATGTTCAGTTAGTTTAATTGCTGGTGTGTTCACGCTTAACTACCGCATGAATATGGACTCTTAAAGTAGAGTGCCATCACAGGTTTATTGAAAAGTAAGTTGTGCTGAAATGCTCTGGTTTATGACGTCAGCACATTATCATGAGCGTCCACGTTCACACATCATGTGATGAGATGACCGGGCAGCAGGAGAGATTATTTGTCAATGATAAGAGTCAGCTGTGATGAAGCATGTGAGCGCATGAAGAATCAGAGCTTCATAAAGCAGTGTCAGAGTTCATGCTGACTGAAGGATGAGCAGATGAACACCAGCGGTCTCCACATCACATGTCCCGAGGTCAGCAGATGAACGCGCTGCGTTTGGCAAGCATCATATGGAGAGAAACCGTCTGAAATGAAGCTCCTAAAGACCATTTTCATGGTTTATTCATTTAAAGACAGGTCAAATTCCTCCAGAATAGCGATTCCCCTGAGAGAGGCGTGAGAGGTGCGGATTTACCCAACAAACATTACATAAGACCGAGAAACTAATGCAGCCGTTTGCTGAATATTCTGAACCAGTTTCACAAGACAAGAGCTCTGTGTCCATGTGAACAGTGATGGTCACTCGTGCGGACGGAGCGTGAATATCATGATATCATACGCTACTAAAACATCAGTCCATAACCGTCAGAGAACGACGGCACCTGAGATCAAATCATCAACCCTGTTCCTCAAAAACCAATGCAGATGATCACGACTCATAATTCAACAAAACAAACTGAGCTCTACTTACAATCCTTACAAAGACATTCAAATATGTACAATCTCTAAAAATGTACAAAGAGCTACATACAAAATGTACCAGATGCACTAAGAGTATCCTGAAGTTCTTCCCGAAAGCTCCAGGTTCCAGTACGAGCTCAAACCTCAGGACTTCTCTTTCAGCACGTCTTCATCGCTCTCTATCAGTGGTTCAAATGATTTCTGACTCCAGACAGGTGGACAGACGTGCGCTCATCTCACAGCTGAAGCTCATGTAGCGGAATTATTTTGTAGCATCTCTGGAAAAAAACGAGACACACACAAATGTTTCAGTGTGAATGTGTATGATTAAACAAACATACGCTGTACTGAAACAGAAGCCCTGTGCTGACCTGTGCATGAACCAACAAATCACTAGCTTTTCAAACCACACATTATCAGACTTACTACAAATGATCACTGTTATTACAGAAATGTCTCATATTAAATAGGGGCAATCAGTGTGTCCCATCCTAAATCAAGCCACTTTTCATGCTGCACAGAGGAAGCATAAACGTGTTTCAAGCACGACACTACAAGTGAATAAATATCACCATACTTCACCAGGTCATTAATTACAGTGCATTAAAACAGCTGTTTTGCAAGTTCTAAACAATTACAAGTTCTAAAATGTTATGGTTTAACGTGAAAATGAAGCATTATGTCAATACACGTTAATCTGCAAAAAAATTCCAGAACAGAAATCTTAAAACTAGATGAAGCCAGGTTTAAAGTTTCCAATATGATTTTACTGAAATATTAGCATTAAATGTTTTTCTAAAGGGGATTTCGGATTTAAACCATAAATCAGAAAATACTGTCAACAGACAGAAAACAATACATCGTCAGCATATTGTATAAATCAGTGTGAATGATATATAAACAAACCCCTTAGTAAATCTCTTCAGAATACAGAGCGGACAAAACTGTTTGCTGTATGTAAAAAGCTCTTTATAGATATGGACTGGAATTGAAATGTACTGATGCAAATAGATAAAGCACAATAAAATAAACACTTCAATGTGTATTTTGGATGTTTTCTTTCCACTGGTTTGAAAAAAGACATGATACAAAAGCAAAATTGACCAGTGCATGAAAAAAAAAAACAACGGTAGTGTCTTGCGTTAAACAGGAATGATTGCCAAAATCACAGGCATCACCTGATTGAACGTCACATGTCTGAAGATGTGGCCTTGATTCTCAGCACAGGACTTCTGCATCCCTGTGCTGTGTTTGATCTGTTGAACTGTGTCGGACATCTGCTTTAGATGCACATATCATTGTTTTTCAGCATCACGCTCCATGAGCCTCGTCACCAGCAAGTCACGTAAAAAAGAATAGTGGTTGACCGATACAGACTTTCTTGATGTCCGATGCTAATATCATACGCCAACACATGCATAACAATTGCTGAAATGAAATGTATATTCATTTTATACGTACAAATTACAAATCAATCTGAAAATGATCAAATATGAAAAAAAAGCAACCTTGATGAAAATAAATCTGTAAAATAAACAGATTTATTCAATTGGAAACCTCTTGATTCTGTCAAAATAAAAGTCCTGGCCAAACAGAAAAACTTATCAGTCGATGCAGATAATTAAAAAATGCCTAATATCGGCCAGTATATCGGCCTTGGCAATATATTAGTCAACCGCTAGTATAGAGTGGCTAATGGTTGATATCACACAGATAAATAAAATAAAAATAAAAGTCCTGCTTCCGACTCTTACCAACTAAACAAAAATGTATCGGCTGCTGCTGATCATTAAAACATTCCTAATATTGGCCGATATATCGGTCGACCTCTAAGAACAGACACACCTCAAAGGCTTTTTAATCTGTTACACTGAGCCCAGGCCATCCCTCCCGCGTGAGGAGACACACTGAAACACACCAGATCCCGTCCAGACTCACCGTCCAGAACAGCAATGACCTCATTCGGCACATCATCGTTGTCCTTCAAACACTTGTGGAGATCCTGAATTCCCGCTTTCCCCTTGGGCTGTCGTCGTCTCCAGCGCTCCAGCATGTTGAACTTCAGCATGGTCCCGTTCTCCTCGGCGACCTCCATCTCCTCCAGGTCCTGCTTGCTGAGGCCCAGACAGCTGATGGCCACGACCTTCCACTCCTTCCCCATGCGTTTGGCCACCTGCATCAGCTGCTGGTCCGTCAGGTCCGGAGCCGCGGCCGTGGCGTTACAGTCTGAACACACACCAGCACTCCAGTCAACACACAATCAGGATAAATACTGTAATGAGTAAATCATAAACTTACCGGCCACGTCAATGCCGCGCGCTTTCTTACTGTGTTTGTGACAGAGCTCTTCCTCTGATGTGCTGCTCGGTCTCTTTCTGCCTGTAGACGGCGAGACCACAAAACACTCATCATTCCTGAATATCCTGACAATGTGATGAATAGAGCGCTGAAGTGATGATGCATTTTTGTAGGCAAACCCATAAGTTCACATCACTCTGGTTCCCTCAACATAAACCCAGTAGGATTTTTGCACTGGAATATTGCAAGCTCTGTGAGCAACACAAATTTATGATTCTTACTAGTCATGTATCGGTATGAAAATTTCTTATCACACTTATAATGACCAAAATGATCACAGTTATCGGTATTATCACGGTGTTGTTAAAATGTGCTGGAAATGTTCAAAAAGTGCTGACACATTAATAATTTCACCAAGTTGTGTATTTAAAATCAACAAACAATAAATAAAATGACTTTTTTTTAAACACTAAAACAATAACATTACCAATGATGTCCGGATTGTAAATGACAACATGACTGACAACAGTTTACATAACATAACATGTGCGAAATGTTCAAATAAAACGTATTGAATGGTAAACCTCTTCAGCCTTTAAATAAAGAAAAGGGTCAAGTCAAAATGATAATTGATTAATAAACGATTATATGTATTTTATCATGCTTCATAAATAATTCTAGATGCGTTATCTGAATTGTTTAAATGTGTAGAATCCACATAAGCTTGTTTTTCATCAACCGGTCATAAATGACAGCAGGGCATGTAAATCCGGTCTGTTTTTTGTCCGGACAGAAGCTGCACACAGACTGAATGTGAATGTGAGTCTCTGTAAAGCCACTCTGTGACAGCAGGTGGCGCTGATGGAGCAGCAGAATTACAGCTGTTTCCCGTAAAGAACACTAGTTTATTAGCTGTTA